CAGAGGGCCCTGCCAACCCCTGCCATGCTGGGATTCTGGGATTCTGTGAAACTGTTTCAAGGGCCAGATGTAACCGCTGTTATTAAAGTAGTTCTTTTAATATTTGAACAGATTTTAATGATGCTTTAAAAATACTCTTTCCTCAGTTAATCTCTTTAAAAGGCGCTTACACAAACAAAGCTGCACAGGCGTAACCAGATGTGACGCTCTCGTTCCCAGCACATACAGCGAGAACAGTGCCTCGTTCTTCTGCTCCTGTTTTTATGGAAGTTGACTGCAGAGCTGATGCTTGCTTGGTCTTGGATCTTAAAAAATACTTAAGCAGAGGCTTTGTTTTAGACTTACAAATAGTGGTGTCCCTTTCTAATTCGAAGCAGACCTCCTGCCGGTCCTGGAGTATGATGACGGTGCTTGAAATGGCAAGATTTTGCCAGTGGTACAGCAGCAGGTGGGTATCACTTACACCAATCCTGTAAAAATACTTGTGAAAGCATTCTCGGTCATCAGAGCACTTGGTCCACAGAAGAGCTTTAGCTGTTGGTGGGGTGTTTTTCAAAGAGGAGTTTACAAACACCTTCCCCACAGTCTCACCATCACCCCAATGACGAGCTGTTACCGTCTTGCTTCGCTCGGTCCGGCTGGCGGTTGCATTAGGTGGACTTGCAAATTCATATAAAATGAAGGTTCAGTGGGTAGGTGAATGCTTCGCACTTGTCTTTTGACACACACTGTCTTGTCAGACAGAAAAGGATTTGGCTTGCACTGAATTGCAGATTTGCTGATAATCGAGTGGTGTTTGCCTTCGGACACCACAGGGCTGCCGGGGCCCCAGCAGCCCCGCTGCTGTTTCAGGGACTGGTGTTTCCAGAGCGAGGAACCTCGCCAGTTAGGGTGGTCAGAACTGCCTCCTGACCCAATTCAGGGTTAACAACTCTTTCGTGAGACTTAGAAGAGGATTTAATCTAGAGGAGGCTGTGGTTTGATTTGTTTTGCTTTGCTGCTGAGAGGGGGAAGGCTCTTTCCCGTCCCCAGTGGTTTCTCCCTGAGCTGCCTGCTCCTGTCACTGACTCGGGAGAAGCCTGCTGGCTTGCACCGTGGAAGAAACGAAAGAAACCCTGGAAGATCCCTCGCGTTTACCAGTGCAGCCCCCGCTGCAGGGTGGTCCTAGGAATGTGGAGACCCTCCTGCCCTGAGCAGAGGAGCCAAAAACCCTCCCAATGCCTCAAAAACAGGCCTATACAATAAAAGACGTGTAACACCGATAAGCTGTCACCTTCCTCGGGGTTGCCATCCCCTCGCTCCAAGCCTGCTTCAGCTTCAGGCTGCCCTACGAGTCTTGTGCTTGTCGTGGTAAAAGTCATACGAAAGTTGTTACGTGTGTAAAGTATATGAAAATAAGGCAGTTTGTTTCCTTGTCTCCCCAGGGGCCGGTGCTCTGGCAGATCTGCTCTCTGCCTTGTTTCACCGCCGGGCGTTTGCGTTAATTATTACTGAGGATCCGAGAGCTGGATTTCGCTCCTGCAGGAAGCATCCAGAAGGCTCCCCCCTTGAGACAGGGATAAAATCACTTACCTGCCAGAAAGGCTAACAGAACATTTATAAAGTCAAAACTATTGTCTTTGAATATTTCATGAGTCTTTAGGCTCTGTCACACCCTGCTGCAAAAACACTTGCCGACAGGCGAGTTTCCTTTCCAGCTGGGGTCAGCGGGTGGCTGGATTGCGTGTCCGGGTGCGTTTCCATCCCAGTTCCTGCTGCTAGCTCCTGCAGCTTGCCTTTGCCCACAATCTGGGGTTCAACACGCAGCTGTTGGATTTGAGCAGCAGCTTGGGTGACTTCGGTAGCGGCTGCTTTCTTGCTGGGGAGCACCCTTCTGCACCCAGACCCTGTCGCTGCTGCTGCACTGCTGCTGCCTGCGGGCATGGGGCGTTCCACGGTGCCCCTGCCCCGTATTTGACTCACACGTGTGGGCTTCATCCATCCTGGAAGGTCAACCACTGGGCTGTTAGGCTGCTTGTGGGGGATGAAGGTGTCTTTACGGGCAGAAAGGGATGAATGTGCTAAAAATAAAGACCTTCATTCGTTAGCCGTCTGCGTTTTTGTCAGCATCGATGTTGGGTATCTGCAAGCTTTCGATGTCAAATATTCACTAAGTCATATCAAAGCGCGTGAGGATGCTTTTATAAACTCCACTGCGCAGTCTGCACCTGTCTTCTGCAGATGGTACATCTTCTTCTGTCTCGCAGGCAAGATCTGAAATTTCGCTTTCCTTCGTGCAGTCTTATTTTGGAGAAGTACATTTCAACTTTCGGTACAGGAGCGAACTAACTGCAGGGTCCTCTGAAGGCCTGGTTATCTGAGCAGACCTCAGGATGCTGCTGCAAAGCCAGCAGAACAACAGGCCCGAACTCTTTTCTTTTTGCAACAGTGAGATATCTGGATATAATTTTTCAGCTCTTGACTAACTGTTCAGGCTGTCTTGATTAATGGGAAGGAAACTTGCAGAGTAAGCATAAGGCTTGGTTTGTCTCAGTTTGCAGAATATTCCTGTAAATCATCCCTAGGCTGGGATGCAGGGCTGGGGTGATGCTCTGGCTAAGCCTGTGATTGT